GGAATCTATAGATTGCTTTGGGTAATATTGACATTTTCACAATGTTAAGTCTTCCTATCCATGAACATGGTATTTTCTCCCATTTGTTCGGGTCTTTTTTACTTTCTTGTAGTTTTCTTTGTACAGGTCATTTGTGATTCTGCTTAGATTTATTCTTAAAGACTTCCTCTTTTGGCTGGTTATTGTAAATGTATTGTTTTCCTGATTTCCTTTTCAGAGTTCTCTTGATTACTGTAAAGAAATCTGATTGATTTTTGTATCTTGATCTTGTACCCTGCCACATTGCTGAAACTTTCAATTCATTCCAGTAATTTTCTTGCTGAGTCTTTGGGATTTTATATGTACAGTTTTACTTCTTCTTTACCAATTTGGTTGTCTTTTGTTTCTCTTTCTTGCCTTATTGCACTGGCCAGGACTTCTAGGACAACATTGGATAGAAGTGGTAAAGAGCATCCTTGTCTGGTACCCACTCATAAACAGAAGGCTGTCAGTCTCTCTCCATCGAGAATAATGTTGGCCATTGGTTTTGTACATATCCCCTTAATTTGTTGAGGAATTTCCTTGAAGGTAACTTTTTAAGTGTATAAATTGTCCATATCGGTAAAGCTTCCAGGAAAAGGGCACTTTGATGTTGCTGGGGAAATGAATTGCTATTGTCCTTTGAGGAAGCAATAGCCATCGATATTAAATATCTACATATTCTTTGACCTAAGAGCTTTGCTTTGGGGATTCTATTCTATAGAAGCAAATGATTCAGTACATAAGGATTTACAAACATGGAATTGTGTATGTGTGTGTGAGAGAGATTGTGAGTGTGTGTAAGAAAGAGAGTGTGCATGAGGGAGAGTGTGTGTGAGAGGATGTGTGTGAGAAAGAATGTGTGAGTGCGTGAAAGAGACAATGTGTGTGAGAGTCTGTGACAGAGAGTACAATGTGTGTGTGTGAGAGAGAATATGTGTGAGTGTGTGTGTGAGAGAGAATGTGCATGAGGAAGAATGTGTGAGTGTGTGCATGTGAGAGAGCATGTGTGAGAGAGGATTGTGTGAGAATGTGTGAGTGTGTAAAAGAGACAATGTGTGTGAGAAAGAATGAGTGTGTATGACAGTCTGTGACAGACAGTGCAAAGTGTGTGTGTGAGAGAGAATGTGTGTGAGGAAGAATGTGTGTGTGAGAGAGAATTGTGTATGAGAAAGAATGTGAGTGTGTGTGTGTGAGTC